ATACTCAAGGGAAGTGCCTCAGCCTGGTATTCACCTCCCACAGGCCTTGCCAGCCTCCTGACCTTGTCAGGACAGGTACTAAGCCGAAATTCCATACCACCTGTCCTCTCTCCCCATCCTCTGAGTGTCCTGCTCTACTGACCTTTGTCATGTCTATTCCCTGCCTCAGAGCTCTAAGCATTTGGCCTGCTGTTTCTCAGCCTGGACTAATTCCCTTATTCTTGACCTAGTTAACTACACACCACCCTTCAGGGCTTTCCTCGCCACAGGAGCACTGCCCAACTAGGTTACTGCCCCTTATGTTTATTCCCTCCAGCCATGCTTCTCCTTGTTTACAAGCCCTCATCATACTTTGGTGCTGATTCATATAGTCTTCATGGCTGCAGGAAGTGTCCTGGCCAGTGGCTGTCTTGATGCCCACTCAGTGCTTGCCAGGTGGATGCGCGGAAGTGCCTGCCCTGTCCTTACTGTATGTTATGTGTTTGATATATCTCCGTTTCTTTCTTCACCTGGGTTTGAGAAAGGAATTCCAATTCTCCATTTTGAAACTTCTACAGGTAACTTACAATGAGAGTTGAGACCACCTTCTGTCCATCTGAAGGCTTTTATCTTCAATCCAGGCTTATTTTCACTTGCACAGAAAGATAATGGTTATGTGGAGGCTTTGGAAGAAAGCTTCCAACATCCAGACAAAAAAAAAATTAAGTGCATTTATTTTTAGATACTATTGCCCTGAAATAAAAATAGGGATGGAATGGTGCTATGATTTGGATATGATTTGTTCCCCAAAGGTTTTTTGTGCTAGAAGCTTGATTCCCCCAGTGTGCTGGTTTTGAGGTGGTAGAACTTTTCAAAGGTAGGACCTAGAAGAAGGTAATTAGGTCCTGGAGCTCTGATCTTATGATGGATTAATCTTGTGTCTTGAGGAGAGGTCAGGTCTCCTGTGACTGGACCAATTCTCAAAAGAGCCGGTCTCTTTTTCCAACTATGACCACCAATACCCAAGTGTTATTAAGACTGTCCTGTAATATGCTTCATTCAGATGCTGCCAGATGTAGAAAAGAGGCATTGGGAGCTCAGATGTTGGCACAGCAAGGAGCTATTGACTGTCTAGAAAAAGCTATTGAAGGATGCTGCCATGACAAAAATAAAAATTTCACCAAAGTCAGCTTTTCCATTTAGACCCAATTTATAGTACACAAAGCTGGAAAATTCACTTCAATAATAAAAATATCAATTATTTCAGGTGGTAAATTTTTTGATATACAAGTTGAGTATTCCTTATCTAAAATTCTTGGGCCAACCATGTTTCAGAGTTCATATTTATTTAGGTTTTGAAATATTTGGATATGTTTTATGAAATATCGTGGGGATATAAATCCAAGCCTAAACAAAAAAATTTGTTTATGTTTCATATACATCTTACATGATAATCAAGAGAGAATTCTATACCATATTTTCAATATTTTCATATTTTGCAGATCCATAGCGTGAGGTTGGATGTGGAATTTCCACTTGTATCAGGTTGGCACTCAAAACACTTCAGCTCTGGAAATACTTGGAACTTGGGGTTTTTTTCTCCAGATTAAAGATGCTCACACTATGGTTATTAGAATATATTTAGTGAGTAAAATCAATTAACTTGTTTAATACCAACACCTGCCTCTCAAGCTTTAATGTGCAGATTGAGCCAGGGATCATGTTAAAATGTAGATATGGACTCAAGCAATGCAGCTCCTATGCCAGAGAATTTTTTGTGTGTGTGTGCATGATGCTGGTGCTGATCGCAGGGACTCACATATGTGAGATATGAGCTCTTCTGCTGAGACATAACCCAGACCTTTGCATTTCTAACAAATTCCCAGAGAGTGCTGAGCCTGCTTGCCTTGGGGGAACTGGGAGCAGCATACTGTAGAGAACTTGGAAGTGACTTAGCCCAACCCACTTCAAGATGCCACTAGCTTGGATTCACCTGTGGTACACTGCAGAAGGATTATTTTCACCACACAACAGTGATTAGATGCAACATGTATTCATTCACTACCAAATGGAAGAAAGAGAAAAGAAATCACTGTTTCTTTGCTGTCAGGGAGCTTCTGATGCTGACCTCAATAGCTGCTGCATTGGCAGAGAAGGATGTAACAGTCATTGTAAGAAAACAAGAAGAGATGATAAGAGCATATTAGCAAATAGTGAATAGAAAAGCAACTTTGGCTTGGACGAGAGCATAGAACTAAATTGAGAAGGCAGAATTTGAACAAATGCAATTATATATCTTTTGCATGCTGTACACAACTGATTCTGGCAGAAGGCGCTTAAACATAGCCAGAGAAGCTAAGTCTTTGAAGTTACAGACTTGTTGCTATATCCAACAGATGAAAAATTATAAGAAAGGCCTAATTTAGAGAGCAAGCTAATGGCTTCTCTGTGGAAGGTGGAAGATTGGAGAAGTTGAGTGATTGGACTAGAAATTAGAAATATCCTAGTGTTTGCCCAAGCCCCGAGTTCAAGCCCGAGGACTGACAAAATAAAAGAAAGAAATATCCTACTGTTAAATATAGCAGTGTCTTGATCATATGATACTTAATGTGCCTCCAAAAATCTTTGTTCAAATATTCTGAGTTCTTAAACTATAAATATGCCTTTAAAGACAGACACTTTAAAGCAACTAGGCAGACAAGATTTTATACACACAGACACACAGATACAGACACACACACACACACACACACACACACACACACACACACACACACACATATCTTTCCCCCTGGTCTTGGAGTTTGAATTCAGGGCCTGGATACTGTGCCTGAGTTTCATTTACTCAAGGCTAGGGCTCTAACACTTGAGCCAAAGTGCCACTTGCGCTTTTTTTCTGAGTAGTTTATTGAAAATCAGAGTCTCACGGACTTTCCTGCCTACGCTGACTTTGAGCCTCAATCCTCAGATCTCAGCCTCTTGCCAATAGCTAGGATTACAGACGTGAGCCACCAGTGCCCAGCAAGATAATATATTTTGACCTCTCTTAAATTGCATACAGGATCATGTTGTTAATATCCAATATGTTTTAATGCATATGTTGAGCTACTCATCTGAATAAGTTCTCTCATATTTTTTTCTATTAGCAAAGGTATCCTCTCTCTTTTTTCTTTTGATAACTCTGCAATTTTAGAACACTGTAACAACAAATGAAATAATTATAACTGTGAAAATCCTTAAATGTTTTAGAAAGCTATATCACCAGAGGTGCCAGAGACTAAAATGTTTTTATATAAGTTATTGACTTGCAAGCAATAAAAAGTTGAGGACATATATTCTTTTCTTTCTTTTTTTTTTTTTAATTTAATTTTATTTTATTTGAGAACATACTGTACAGAGGAGTTACAATTACATGGGCAGGATAATGCATACATTTCTTACCAAGCATTGCAGCCTCCTCCTTTGTTTACCCTTCACCTCCCTTCCCAGCCTCCCCCCTCCCTCCCACCCAATCATACCCCCCCACCCCCCCCCCACCGACATTGTAAAGCTGGTTTTGACATGACATTTTGTACTTCTCATTGTTGCAACAGGTCCACCTGAATCCTTAAACGACTTGTTTGTCCCCATCTCCTCCACATGTTATACTGACATCAAATATAGTGAAAGCGGGGGTTACACTGTGGGGGAGGGACATACAAAGCAACAAAGAAATAATCTTATAAATGCGTTAGAAACACATGCATGAAAGAAACAAAAACATTAAAATACATATTTGAGTTTTCGTTTTCCTAACATCACATTATCTGACTTTTTCCGCTTGACTCATACCTATACTAGATATTGCAAATAAGGGAAACCATGGGACCTATGTTTCTTTGGGCCTGGCTTACTTCACTTAATATAATTTTTTCCAAGCCTTTCCATTTCCTAACAAATGGGGCAATGTCATTCTTTCTGATGGAGGCATAGAATTCATTGTGTATATATACCACATCTTCTTGATCCATTCATCTACTGAGGGGCATCTGGGTTGGTTCCATGTCTTAGCTATGGTAAATAATGCTGCAATATATTCTTTTCTTTCTTAAATCATAATCTCAGTGCCCTTCCTTCCCCTATTCTTTCCTCCTCTTCCTTTCCCTTCCTTTGGCTTTTCTTGCATTCCTTTTTTCCCTTTCCATCCCTCTTTTCCTCCCTTTGTTCCTCCCCCTTCCTTACTTCCTTTCTTCCTTCCTTCTTCCTTACTTTCTCTCTTTCTCTCTTTCCATTTGCAAGCCTAGATAGGAAAATTAGCTTAATGGAATTTGGAGGTCTTAATGGAATCACAGATACATAGATGTTTTCCTAAATCAGGTAAACCAAGGCAGGGAATCTTGAGATTCCTAGGTCATGCTAGAAGTCTATTAAGCATGTGGAAGTGCTGAGTACATTCGAATGGATATACTAGTGTGTACATGCAAGTGTCCCCAGTGTGGCACTTTTGTCCAAGTATGGCACTAACTGTGGAAATCTTGATGTTTATCTTCTGCATCTGTGTGGAGCTTTATCTTCAGCCCTTTATTCCTTGGCTATGAATGAATAGTTGTGTCAATCCCCAGTCGGTCTTATTTCCTGTGGATGTGGATGAGATTGAATTCACCCATGGGTTTCAGGATGGCTGCAGGCAGTCAGGGGTTTCTTTAAGACTGTCATGGTTCCAGTTCCCACCCTTTCCTTCATTTGAAAGCAAAGACTTTACAGAGAGGCAGGTAATCAATTTCTGGTTTCCTCTGGCTGGCTGCTCTGATAGAACCAATAAAAAATTCACAGGACAAATAGGTCTGCATATTTATCTGATTCTACGGCTACCATGCATGTCAGTAGGCCAGTACAGTCTGAACCATGATGGGTCTGGTGATACATTTTGAGTCTGATTTTCATCTCATCTCATCTCCGTTTCCTCTTCCTCCTCCTCCAGGGGAAATGGATCTGATGAAACAAGTGTGACCTGTGAGTCCAGCTGGCCAGCCTGACACCCTGTGGAGAGGGAGACTACCATGGATGGCATCATTGAACAGAAGAACGTGCTGGTGCATAGTAAGATCAGTGATGCTGGCAAGAGGAATGGCCTGATTAACACCAGAAACTTCATGGCTGAGAGCAGAGATGGCCTGGTGTCTGTTTACCCAGCACCCCAGTACCAGAGCCACCGAGTGATGGCCAGTGCGACACCGACCAGCCTGGATGCCGGCAGGAAGGAGCCTGTGCAGCAGCTGCTGGACCCCAACACCCTGCAGCAGTCGATGGAATCCCACTATCGTCCCAACATCATCCTCTATTCCGAGGGAGTGCTTCGCTCCTGGGGAGATGGTGTGGCTGCCGACTGCTGCGAGACCACCTTCATTGAGGACCGGTCACCGACCAAAGACAGCCTGGAATATCCTGATGGGAAGTTCATCGATCTTTCGGCAGATGACATTAAAATCCACACCCTGTCCTATGATGTGGAGGAGGAGGAGGAGTTACAGGAGTTGGAGGTCAGAAGATATGCTTGTTGGGGTCTTTTGGGAATGGGAAAGTGGGGTTTGAGGGAGACCTGGAGGGCCCAGCAAAAGTCAGGGAATAAAGGTAGCATAGAAAGATGCAGAGAAAGCAAAGTCTTTCTCAGTGTTCTTACACTCCTCAGTATGTATGAAGGCTGGAAGGGGTGGAGATGGACAAAGGGCCTGGAGGCTTTAGTTGTCATTTTGATACACAGGACCCAAGGTCATGGACATGGGGCAACAGTCACCAGTCACTACTTAGAAATTCTACTGTTGACTACTCCACAAGAGAAAGAGGATCCTGGCCAAAAAAAATAAATAAATAAACAAGATGGGGTGTGGGTACTGTTAGAATTTCCTAACCACCCCTTTTCTGAGAACTGAACTGCCTTGAAACACCACGCAAGACTTTTCACCAAGTAGAGAAGTGGTGTGGACGTGGATGTGAAGGCCAGCAATGGTATTGGTGAAAAGTTTCGTGTGGTGTCTCAAGGCAGTACCATTCTCAGAAAAGAGGTAGTTAGGAAATTCTAACAGGTGCATGTTCTTAGAACCCCAGGAGGCTGGAGGACATGTGTGAGGTCGGTTTTGGAAGTATTTGGGAAGTTCAATGTGGACTCCTTAATTGGGCATCTTCAACTTTCTACTAAGAGATTTTTAACATTGCTAAAAAACCTTCTGTGGCACAGAAATTGAAAAGGGAAGATGGATTGAATTATTAGACCATTTTCTTTTATGATGTTGGAAATGGAACCCAGGGCCTCAAGCATACTAGGCATAGTGGGCTATCAGCTCCAAGAAGAATCGTTTGTTTAGTCAAGATGAAGGCATTTGAATTTCATTTGCATTTGCATTCGCAGAAACGCATACACTGAGGAGAAGCATGGTGATTCAGGCCTGTAATCCCAGTGATTCAAAAGGCAGAAGCAGAAGGCTGGATAGAAGAGCAGCCTGGGCAAAAGCACAAGACCCTATCTTAGAAATAAGTATTGCAAAAAGTATGGCGGTATGGCTCCAGTGATAGAATATTTGCCTAGCAAGTGTGGAGCCTTGAGTTTGAACTCCAGACACAAACACACGTACACACGTATACACGTACACACACACACACACACACACACACACACACACGCTGAAAGAGAAAGAAATGTGCTCCTTGGAGATGGTATGATTAGGCACAGCAGTTGTGGGTGTTGGCAGGTAGGAGGATGAGACTGAGTACAAGGGTGTCAGCTGACAGGCTGTGGCCCAAGCTTGAGGATTCTCTTCATTGAGTGGCTTGGGTCCTGCTGAGATGTGAATGCAGGGCCAGGGAGCCAAGATCAGGGTCAGTTCAGTCAGAAGCAGACTACTTAAAGGGAAAGGGGCATTTCCCGTGATGGGGGCGAGGCGCGGGAGGGCAAGGACATTTTGGAGGTGGAAGGGAGATGTCCAGGGCTCAGGATGAGGAGGGTGTCAGGAGAGGTCAGTAGGCTGCATGTGTGAGAGAGTGAAAACTGTTGCAGTAGCTAAATGAAAGGAAAAGGAAACAGCAGATGTGGGCCCACTTTGGTCTAGACTCAGTGCAGCCTGGGAAGCTTTCTGGCCATGAATTGCTTAGAACCAGTTAAGAGCCATGACCTGGAGGAAGCGGACATTCTAGAAGAAACTTCCATGATGCAATAATGGGAGTCTGCGTGAAGATGTAGCCGAACCCAGGCTCCGAGGCTTCCCTCAGCAAGGTGTAGCCATCCTCAGCAGATCAGGCTTCAGGCATGGCTTGCTCTGGGCATCCTAGGTAGGAGGGGCAGGAAAAAGGAAGAGGGAGAGATTTCAAGAGAATCAGCCTCACCTACATGGAGTCCTGGACTGGGGAGAGGCCAGCAGAACATTGAGGCAGTATCAGGCCTCAGGGAGAACCACATGCACCCAGGAGGTGATGGCTTTAGCTACCTGGAAAGCCAGGTGTGAGAGCAACTCCTGGGAAGAGAACTCATGAGACTCAATGGACAGGCCACTCAGTGGTGACCCTGGCATGTCTGAGGAGCATGTAACACCATATAGTGACACAGGGAAGAAGAAGAAGGACAGGAAGTCAACCAGGGCCTTGAGAAGCCAGGAGGGTGCTTCAGCTTCTGCACAAAAGCCTACATCAAACGTTTGTCATTCTCCAAGGTCTAAGGATCTGGCTGAATGCTGCCTGGCCTGCATGTGTCTGTGAAGCAGACATCTGAACTTAACACAGGAGGCCTGATGAAGGGATAACCCATTGGCACTGCAGGCTTCTCAAGGGAGGGTGAGACTCAAAGTATCTGTAGGAGGAATGGGTGAAAGGCTGCAGGAGTGGCACCCCTGCTGTACATATGAGGAGGCTTGAGGGGGTGGTGGTGGGTGAGCACAGACATTGTAGCCCAGGAGGTTTGCAGGGAACCAAGACCTGTGGTTGTGGTAAGCATGGGAAAGACAAGCCCTTTAGGGAAGCAAGATCCTGCCACAGAGGACCCTAGCCATGTAGGGAAGATTGGATTCAAGAAGGCTACATGCTTGGATACCTATGGAACAGAAAGAAGAGGTTTCCAGCTCAGAACACCTCTCAGGGACCTTGGGATGGGAATTAGAGAGCCCGGATACCTGTAGAGCTATTTACTTATTAGACTGCCTAAATCACACTTCATGAGCTATGCTTTGATGGGTACCCTCGGGTAAGGTGAAGGTAACTGAAGGACTGAATGCTGCAAGGTTTAATCCACATGACAATGCAAAGCCTGCAGGATGCTGTGTGGAGGAACTGGGAACTGCAGGGGGCAAACCTTGACCTCTGACCTTGGAGAACAGTTGAGAGGGTTTCCAGCAAGAGGGCTGTGGTTGTGGTCAGGTCTGTGATTATGGAAGCTGTTCTGCCTGCAGCATGTGACAAGAATCTGGGAGAGATGGAGAGGGAGGGTGAGAAGAGGCTCACACTGGATGCAGAGAGCTTCTTGACATAAGCGACAGCATTAGAAGTGGAAAAGAAATACTTTGAAAATGAAATTTGTCGTTGATTGGAGAGAATTTTTTAGCTTTGATGTGATTTTTTATTTTTTTTAGAAAATCAGTTCTAAGGTACAATAGATCCCTGCAGTTTAAAGACTTGGAGTAGTGGCTGGATTGAAAATACAAAAGGTATTTCTACATGTCCTCATTACCGCGTTCTCACACGATGGATTTTATCTTGTCCTGGCCTCAGCGTGTCCATATTCTTCGCTGAATGACCTCATTGTGTCAGTGTCAATGAGACAGGAACAGGTGATCAGCATGTCATCTTAGGCTCAGTCAGCCTCCCTCTTATGGTTTCACAATGGACTATACTCAGAATTCTACTCCTCTTTCTTTAACGCTTCTATGGGCTTCTGATGAAGCCTGCAAATAAACCCAGCCAATATTTAAATGCAATTTGTTTTATTCATACTATGTCTGAATCCACATTTTTTTCATCAATGTATTTCGGGCTCCATTTTATTGCAACAATTTCTCATACAACCATCTCTGTAGAGTTTGGCAACTCTACAGAGGTCTGACACCTACCCCGAGGCAATCTCTCACATTAAAATTTAGGAGGTGGTGAAGGACACATACTTGTCTATGCCGACAGGTCCAAGGCTTTGACAAGTTGTGTAGGCATCTGGAGAAATAAGCTGTTCCACCCAATCCTGTCGCTCTGTTCCAGGAATGGTAGAGGTAGCTCCTATAAACAGGCCTTTTTAATAATATGGCAACAAGAATATTTAGGTATAACAGTGATGCTTTCTCTCTACTGTTACTAATATGTGTAGAATGACTTTTGCTGAATACTAAGGCTGAATATATTGGCATTTATACTTTGACCAGGAGAGTTACTTCCGTAGCATTGATGGGACAGCAAGTTATTTGATTGGACAGTTTCTTAAGCACCCAGACCAAGAAATGGCTTCCTGGCTGTGAGGGGAAAAGATCAAGACACATTGTGGCTGCTTTTGCTTTTCTCATGCTGATTACACACCAATGGTTTGAGAAGATCAGCCAGAGTAGTTAATTAGAAATTCTATGAAAATATTTTTTTTCTCAGAAACATTTTCATGATATAGATATGGTATTTGTTTTATTCCATTTTGTGTAAATTAAAACAACTAATAACATTAGGGGAAAAAAACATAATGATTGATGAGAAATGCAACTATAGGTACAGCAGCAACTGGTTTATGGTTTACTACTGCTGCCGTTCTATGCAATAATAAAGGGTATGTATCAGTTAGCAAAATTTGCTGCATAACAAATCATTTCCAAACTTAGTGACTTGAAACAACTATATTTAGTTCATGATTGCAAAGTCAGCAATTTAAGCTAAGGTCAGCTGATAGTTCTGCTTGTCTCCCCTGAGTTCACTCATTTGGCTGTGAGCTGCCAATTGGCTTGACAGCTGGACTTGAGAATGTTTGCTGGCTACAGTGACAGGAGCACATTTCTCTCATCATCCAGCAGTCTATTCCAGAAGCTTCATCACGTAGCAGCCATGGCAAGGAGCAGCAAGAGCAGCAAGAGAGGTTGAGTCCTAATGTCCAGGGCTACTACTTCAAGTTGGCCTGTGTCACATGGTCTTGTCTTGTTGGCCAAAGCAAGTCATAGCCAAATCCTTAGTCATTACCCAGGGTCCTAACACGGTTGTCCTTCTGTATCCACAGGGCCCCTTAGATACTTAAATCTGTAGATATTCAAATCGCATATTTAACATGGCACAGTAGGGGCAAATAACTATACACATCCTCTTGTATACTTTAAGTTCTATATAAATAATTTATAAAACTTAATATAAGCCAGGTGCTGGTGGCTCATGCCTATAATCTTAGCTACTCAGGAGGCTAAGATCTGAGGATTGTGGTTCAAAGCCAGGCCAGGGCAGTAAAGTTGGTGAGACTTTTACCTCCAATAAACTACTCAGAAAAAAAACAGAAGTGGTACTGTGACTCAAGTTGTAGAGTGCTATCCTTGAGCATAAAGAG